TCCAAGAATGTTAGGTGATTCGATTTGGTCCCAGGGGAAATACGGTGGAGTCACTATGAACGGAACTTTGGATGAACTCTCTGCATATGTTTATCAATTGGCTCTTGGCAATATTGGATATGTAAAACCTTGCAAAATTTGTCAAACCACGGCTCATGATACAGACACTTGCCCGAAATTAGATGAAAGATTTGGAGCATATCCATACTATAGCGGGGGTTTTCAACAACAACCGTTGCACGTTTTCCATAATCAAGTATAGACCGAGCAACTTTCCAACAATGATTCAAGCATGTCGCTGGATGATATAGTGAAGCAATTGGCTACTGACACGCTGCAATTTGAAAAAGAAACTAGGGCGAGCATCCAGGCCCTTGAAATTCAAATAAGCCAATTAGTGACCACCATGAATCGTTTGGAGGCTCAGTCCGCTATATTATCTCCATCCCAACCTGATGTAGAGCATCTAAATGTGAGTACCATGTTCTTGAAAAATGATGAAGACCAGGTGACATATAGAAGAAAATCACGTGAGCAGCAACGAGAAGCAGCAGTTGAACTAGGTCCTGACAACCAACATGGTCATGTCACTGACCATGTTCTCTATGAGACTGTTGGTATGAGTTTATTTCAAGTAGCAGAAGAAAAAGAACACTCTGATGGCCAGCAAGGCCATATTGTTGACCATGTTCTCGGAGATGCAGAACTGGGCGTAGAGTCAGAGGCTAAGGCAGAGGACAATTTCATGCCTGCTACAGAAAAAGAAGTGAAGCCTGAACTTCAACATGGCCATGTCATTGACCATGTTCATTGTGATGTTGCTGATATGAGTGCAGAATTTGAGGCTGACAAGAACGCAAAGGAAAAAGATGTCTCATGTTATCCCGAGTATAAGCTGGTACCTTCTTATCTCTTTGCTTCTTTTCCCTATGTGAATGATGGGTACACCAGATACATATATGGAACATTTCGAAGATACGAGGATGTTTTCTGGCCTACAAAAGAAGGTGGACTCATGGCATGTTTGGGAGAATTAAGGCCCATGCTCGACCACATCAGATGCATCTTTTATGGAGAACGTGGGAAGTTATGGTTCAACGGTAGGCCTCTAAAAATGCAGTCTGGTGTTGCTAGGAAGAATGCAGTATATGGATTTTATGGGTTTCTTAGACGAATAAGAGCAGTCATAGCATCTCTGAGACCCATCCCAAAACCTCCTTGGCGAATAAATTTGTGAGTCTCTCTACCTAGCATATATATACATACTCTTCATGCTTTTGCATTCATTATGATATGTTTTAAGGACTTAAGCTTGGGGATGTATGTGTGTTATGCTTCGTACCGATTATATAGTATAGTTGCATTAGTGTTCAGGTAGGTTGCATTTAGGATTTATTTTAAATGTTTAGT